ATCTTTATCTTTACGTAATGACTTATCATTACAACCAGCCCAACTAAACACACAATCTACTGGCTCTAATGGACACTGATGATCAATGTGAGCAGTGAGACTACCTCGTGGCATAGTGTTCGATGAACATTCATTAGGGCAAGTAACAGGATACCTCCAGCATTCCTCATAATGATCCTTTGTAATAGAGAGGAACGTACCTTCTTCCTCACAGTATTGGCATTGAAATGGACGTTGAGGGCATTCTCTATCTTCGTGATCTTTGAGATATCTACGTTGCCTTTTCTCTCGGCATTTTCTATTTCGACACTTTCCTTCTTCATATTGACATTCTCCTCTCCTCTTCCTTTTTTTAAGATGAGTAGACATATTCTTCAATTCTCCTTTCCATTGACATCCTTTATCCTTATTACTGCAATAGACCTCCAATCCATTGATAATACGTAAGCACTTCTTATCGACAAATGATTGATATTCCTCCTCTTTACACATAGGACAAGATCCATCACTATCTTTTACTCTCTCAATACAAGACCCACAGTAATTATGTCCACAGCATGTGACCTGATGAGGATCTGTCAAGATATTAAGACAAATTGGACACTCTATCTCTACATGCTCTGGCAATTCTTTAAGAAAAGAAACCTCATCTTTACTGAACTGAGCCATGGGAAGTGTATCTAGAGTAGACAGGCGTGGCAGGCTGGCACAGACCACGCCTGACACTTATATTTACATTTTATTTTTCTGCAAGAATTCAGATGCTAAACTTAAATCATAGATATATCTATGCTTAAATCCAGGGTAACAGGTAACTTGAAAAAAAACATTTTAAGTTTGTGGCTTTGCTCTTATTACCCCCAACAGCCGAGGTTGCTTGTAGCATTTAGCATTACATGGGCTATATAAGTTAGTTCTTGCAGGCTTCTCCGAAAAGCATTTTGATTTGAATCAAAAGAGAAGATTGAATCTCCACAGTTTTGTATTGGGTATCAATTAATTAACATTGACAATAATAAAATATAATGTATAATAAATACACACTATCATTACTGAGTATAAATTGTAGCTTTATTATCACTATATAGCAATAAAAAAAGTAAGTCATATTCACCTATATTTATTTTAATAACTCCTTCTGGTACAGTAGTATCATCATCGCTCCACTCAATGCCATTAAGAATATCATGAGGTAGCTCTAGCTGATTATCAGCAGCTTCAGTGTCTACTATCAATGGAATATCTTTATCTTTTAACTTTGCAAATATTTTTGAAAGTTTTGATTTAAACTTTACTTCATGAACTGCAAGTAATATAAAGAATTCAGCATACCTACGTGTACGTGTCTCAATAGTCCTGCCTTTAGGTGCCACACTACGTGCCTTATGCCTTCTAGACGTCACATCTACTTTTTCAGTAATGTGTTTAACATCCCCTCTCATCATTCTAGCTGACATGTGCCAACCACATACACCAGTATAGAAATGAACTGCTTCACTTCCTTCAGTAACATCAATTGGTAGTAATGGATATGGATCATCAGCTAGAGCAGAATGAACACGATAATTAAAACGTGCATCTTCTATTTTTAACTTTTCTATTTCCTCCTTCATTTTCTCATTTTCTTCTTTTATTTTTGCATTTTCTACTTTCATTTGCTCATTTTCTTTCTTCAATTGTCCACAAGCTACAGCTAATAGTGTCATGTGTTTAGTATCAGCAGTATGTACATGTACATCTTTACGTAATGGCTTATCATTACAACCAGCCCAACTAAACACACAATCTACTGGCTCTAATGGACACTCATTGATATGAGCAGTGAGACTACCTCGTAGCATATTAGTAGACACACATTTATTGGGACAAGTAACAGGATACTGCCTGCATTCCTCATAATGATCCTTTGTAATAGAGAGGAATGTACCTTCACTCCTGCAGTATTGGCATTGAAATGGACGGTGAGGACATTCTTTATCTTCATGATCCTTAAGATATCTACGTTGCTTTCTCTCTTGACATTTCACATATTGACACTTTACTTCTTCATGTTGACATTCTCCTTCTCTCTTCTCTTTATTAAGATGAGTAGACATATTCTTCAATTCTCCTTTCCATTGACATCCTTTATCCTTATTACTGCAGTAGACCTCCAATCCATTGATAATACGTGAACACTTCTTATCGACAAATGATTGATATTCCTTCTCTTTACACATAGGACAAGATTCATTACTAGCTTTTACTCTCTCAATACAAGACCCACAGAAATTATGTCCACAGCAACTCACCAGATGAGGATCTGTCAAGATATTAAGACAAACTGGACACTCTATCTCCACATGCTCGGGCAATTCTTTTACCAAGGAAACCTTTTTTTTACTGAACTGAGCCATTCCTACCAGCCACTCCATTGATCTTGTGTACAGTTACTGTATCCAATGGTAACAGACTAATGAATGTGCTGACTCATTGATAGTAAAATTCATTTGATATAATTATACTGAGGCCTGACACACCCATTGTTATTTGATATCCCCTTGTTATTCTTAACCATTTCTTCAATGCTGCAAAAAGCAGTGCATACAGTATCCCATTTCTATTTTATAAGAGTAACAACATTTTTATTGCTCCACCAGTAGCTTGTGATTTAAGTTCATAATTACATACCCATTGATGTTTGATATCTTGTACTGTAAAAAATAGCAGTCAGTAAACAGTATTCTTTTTTAATAATTTTACATATCACCATCATTAACCATTCTGTCTGTATTGTACTTTATAGTGTACATATACACCATTACCATATTCTACTACCCTATTTTATGTATAGACTAATTACATGTATATTCTATTGCTTATTCATTTATTTTTATTCTCAAGGTGATGGTACATTGAGGTTATGGGATGTCTCTCAATCATTGAACACTGGTACTGTTAATGATGGAGGGAATGAGGTGCTCTCTTGCAGCTGGAATAAATATGAACAAGTAACAATTTGTAATTGATTGTTTATTAGCACTATAATTATGTTAGAATCAGCTCAATTCTTTGCCAAATTTGCTTTTTAAATTTTTTTTATTAATTTTTAATGCATGTTGATGGTTGCTTTACGTTGATGGTTGATAGTCTATGGTCTATGGTTGATGGTGTTTAAAAAATTGAGTTGATTCTAATCACAATCCTGTATTTATTAGCAGCATTCAAAGAATCATTCACAATTTAACTAAAAATTGCTTTTTTTGTTTTAGAATTTATTATGCTCTGCTGGTACAGACAACACAATAAAGTAAGCATTCATTGCACAGTACTGTATAGCGGGAAATATTGAAGGGAATTAAATTTGGCAAATTTGGCATTTTGATAACTATTCACCAAAATTAAAATCCACCATTTTGAGCCATTATGCTTATGTTTAATGGCACGTGGCCACAAATTTACCAAATCAAAATTTTCCAATCACCAAAATTCATTTTGCCAAATTAACTCCCTCTAAAATTTCCTGCTATATGGTATAATAACTATTGATCAAAAATTATTATTACTATTATTATTATTGTTGTTGCTTCATTATTATTAGATTGTGGGATATAAGACAGTTTACTGTGCCATTATTGATAATGACTGGTCACTCGCAATCAGTTAGACAAATCAAATTTGATCCACACACTCCAAGTTACCTAGCATCATGTTCCTATGACTTCACTGTGAGGTATATTAACACTTATTGTATTAATAGGACATATTGTTATTAATATTATATTGTATATTGTTTTAATATTGTATTAATTACCTTAAGCTTACTATTATTTGCGTCTACTAATTTTAGCGAAATCAGCAAAAATCATGTTTAGCGTTACTAATTTAGCATTTTTAACCAAATTAACTATAAATAATAACCATTATAATGAATAATTATCATTTTGGCATCTATTTAATTTAGTGGTTTAAAGCTCTCTCGCTAATATAGCTAAATTTAGTAGACGCTAAAAATAGTAGGCTTAAGGTAATCTGATATTGAGGTTAACAAATGTTGTGTATTTTTTAAGTTTAAGAATTAAAAAAGTACTAAAATTAATTTATTTAATATGGTCAAGATTCAAAATAAAGGACATTTGCTATTCTCAAAAACAAAAAAACACCATATAGGATGTATATGTAATAATTACAGTGTTCTTCTGTCTTTCAATAGACTGTGGGATACAGTTAATCCATTGCATCCTCTCATACAAACAATCTCCCATCATAATGAGTTCACGTATTCTGTTGATTTCAGTGTTCACCAGAAAGGACTGGTAAGTCTTCTCACTCCTTCTCACCTCCAGCCTGTCTATATTTATATATTCGAACTAATTCCAATCAAAATTAGATTTTTATGAATTTTTAAAGTTTCTCAAAAATAAGGCCAAAGTCCCTGTACAGTACAGGTCATTGGCCAATATGTTTTCAAAAATTACAGGGAAAGAATTCTTTATTTTTATAATTTTTTAAATGCATATACATGTTTTTGTGTTATGTATAGAAAGTTTGGGCTGATTTCAATCAATTTTAGATTTTTAAATAAATTTTTAAAGCTGCTCCAAAATCGAGCCAAAGTCCTTGTACTAAAGAACATAAAAAATTAAAAAAAACAAGGTTAAGTAGGATTCCGAACGACCAACAAAAATACGAAATGAAAATCCTACTCGTGATGCAAATTCTACTTTACATTGTACTTTCAATGTTATTATGTAAGAATTACGGATCACCTTGCAATGTAGAGTAGAATTTGCATCACGAGTAGGATTTCATT